TGCACCATGGAGACACATGGAGTGGGTGTGGCTGTGCAGGGAGGACTGGAGAGGCGGTGTTCAACACTGAGATACAGGTAGTGGGCGTGGCGGTGCAGGGATTTCGAGAGGGGAGGGACAGTGCAGGTGTAGTGATTTGTACACACTATTGATATGCTAATTAATGTACACCTGGTATGCCAGTACATCTGGCATGCGCTGCTATAGAAGAAATGTAATTCAATAAAATGTGGTCAGTATTCTATAAGCCTTGGTCGTGTTTGTGTCTTGTCATTGTACTGTGTGTGCATGCTTTTGCTACGTGTCCACCCCAGAATACACAGCAGGCAGGTTGGGAGAGGGGTGTGCACCACAGAGAGACAGGGAGTGGGTGTGGCGGTTCAGAGAGGTCGGGAGAGGCGGTGTGCAACATGGAGATACAGAGAGTGAGTGTGTCGGTGCAGGGAGGTCGGGAGAGCGGTGCAGGGAGGTCGGGAGAGGCGATGTAGGGAGGTCGGGAGAGGCAGTGTGCACCACAGATACAGAGAGTGGGTGTGGCAGTGCAGGGAGGTCGGGAGAGGCGGTGTGCACCATGAAGATACAGGGAATGGGTGAGGCGGTGCAGGGAGGTTGGTAGAGGCGTTGTGTACCAAAATATAGGAATAATGTCTGAAACACATTGCAAATTCATTTGCATATTGGTCACAAATATCCCAAACCCAGGTGAACAGTCTGAAAAATAATTTCCAAGTGTTACAATGCTCCAAACTCTTGCATAAAAAGAGTGGGTGTGACGGTGCAGCGAGTTTGGGAGATGTAGCGTGCACCACGGAGATACAGGGAGTGGGCGTGGCGGTGCAGAGAGGTCGGGAGAGGCGGTGCAGGGATGTCGGGATAGGCAGTGTGCACCACGGAGATGCAGAGAGTGGGTGTGGCCATGCAGGGAGGTCGGGAGAGGCGGTGTTCACCACGGAAATACAGGGAGTGGGTGTGGCAGTGCAGAGAGGTCGGGAGAGGCGGGGTGCACCACGAAGATACAGGGAGGGGGTGTGGTGGTGCAGAGAGGTCAGGAGAGGCGGTGCAGGGAGGTCATGAGAGGCGGTGCAGAGTGGTCTGGAGAGGTGGTGTGCAACACGGAGATGCAGGAAGTGGGGAAGCGGGGCATAAAGGTCGGGTGAGGCGTTGCAGAAAGGTCGAGAGAGGCAGTACAGGGTGAATGGGAAAGTCGGTGCAGGGAGGTCGGGAGAGGCAGTGCAGGGAGGTCAGGAGAAGCGGTGTGCGCCTTGAAGATAAAGGGAGTGGGTGTGGCGGTGCAGGGAAGTCGAGTGTGCACCACGGAGATACATGTAGTGGGAGCGTTGGTGCCCGGGGGTTGGTAGAGGTGGTGCAGGGAGGTCAGGAGAGGCAGTGTGCACCACGGAGATACAGTGAGTGGGTGTGGGACGGTCGGGTGTGGTGGTGCAGGGAGGTCAGGAGAGGCGATGTGCACCAAGAAGCTGCAGGGAGTGGGTGTGGCAGTGCAGGAAGGTCGGGAGAGGTGGTGCAGAAAGTTCGGATATGGCAGTGCAGGGAGATTGTGAGAGGCGGTGTGCACCACGGAGATACAGGGAATGGGTGTGGTGGTGCAGGGAAGGCCGGGAGAGGCAGTGCAGAGAGGTCGGGAGAGGGGGTGCAAGGAGGTCAGGAGAGGCGGTGCAGAGTGGTCGAGAGAGGCAGTGTGCTCCATGGAGATGAAGGGAGTGGGTGTAGCGGTGCATAGAGGTCGGGAGAGGCGTTCCAGAAAGGTCGGGAGAGGCGGTGTGCACCACAGAGACACAGTGAGTGGGTGTGGCGGTTCAGAGAGGTCGGGAGAGGTGGTGTGCGCCATGGAGATACAGGGAGTGAGTGTGGCATTGCAGGGAGGTCGGGAGAGCAGTGATGCAGGAAGTGATACAGGAAGTGACTGTGCAGGGAGGTCGGGAGGGGCAGTATATACCACAAAGAAACAGGGAGTGGGTGTGGCGGTACAGGGAGGTCGCAGAGACGGTGCAGGGAGGTCGGAAGAGGCGATGTGCACCACGGAGATACAGGAGTGGGTGTGGTGGTGCAGAGAGGTCGAGAGAGACGGTG